AGTGAACCTTCATTCCCGAAAACCGCTACGGGTACCACCTATAGCAATGCACAATCGTAGGATTCGATATCAATGGGCTCTTGAACACAGAAATTGGGCAGAAGAACAATGGCGTTTCGTGTGCTTTTCTGATGAGTCTCGTTTTGGTATGAGACCGGATACAAGACGTATACGACACTGGAGAACCCCTGGACGCCAACAGCGATTAAAATCCTGCCAGGAAGTCCATCCTTATAGTGGTGGAACCATCATGGTATGGGCGGGTATTTGGATCGGCGGAAGAACTGAGTTGATTTGGATCAGAGGCAACCTCAACGCTCAAATTTATGCTGAGACGATTGCATCAGACGTCATCGTTCCTCTACAAGTGCAAATCGGTCCCTTATTTCAGTTAATGCATGATAATGCACGACCGCACACCGCAAGAGTTGTAAGACAGACTCTCGCCGCAGCTAACATCAATGTCCTGCCCTGGCCTGCTCAGTCGCCAGACTTGAACCCGATTGAGCATGCATGGGATATGCTACAGAGAAGAGCTCTGCCGAATATGGAGGGTATCCAGTCGCAAGAAGACCTTTTTTTGTTGTTGCAACGAACATGGGCGGCCATTCCACAGCGTGATTTGGATGAACTCATTTTGAGTATGCCAAACCGATGTTCTTGTGTTGTTAGTGTTCGCGGTAGAAATACGGATTATTAATTGTTTAAGTTACCCAATAAAATTTTAGAGAAAACTGTTATTTCAGTCTTTTTTTCGAACTTTTGTGTTAGTGGTTCAAATGTCAAAAATCCCTTTATTAGGAAAATGGCAAATTTCTTTATTAATGCAAAGGTGACTTGGTTTATCGTTACTGTGACAAACGAAAACACTTTATTTGATGAATCCTTAAAGAAAATTTTAATTAATATCAATCAGGGGAAAAGTTATTGCAAAAATATATGTTGATCCCTAGACACTTTTGATGTGTGTAGTTATGTTTTTATTTTATTTAAGCATTTAACTGCTAGATGTTTAAATTTGCACCATAGACAGTGTTGATAGTGTTGAGCATCCTCTATCAAACTGTGAAGTAAAACTAGATGGATAAATGTAAGCGAGACGAAGCGATCGTGCGGCCAATAGTGTGTATAGGTATTAGCGACACCATCACTTACTCTCTTTCTAGAGAGTTGTCATTTTCTTGCGATTGTCGCTTAGTACATTATTTATTGCAATGAACCAATAGGGATGGTGACGGGGTAAACTTAACGAAATTCCGTCCGTCTGTCGTCATGACGGACTAAATAGAAATTCGTCCATTTCGTCATAGTTTTGATATTTAAAGAAGTTTTTTTTAATGCTTAATAGGCAAAGCGATTGACCACAGTCTCGCCTGATAGAAAGCGATGATGAGGCCTATAGCAAGCCATACACGCTAGGGTTTACCTGACAGGTTTACCTGTACAGTTTAACTCTCCAGGCAACTCGAAAAGATATGAATTTTGATATTTTCTACCTATGCAGTTTAACTGTGCAGGTAAAACTGAGCGTGTGTGGCGGTCATCTGCGCAGGCGTCAGTTGATTGATAGATTAGAACGATCGAGGTCATGGTTTTAATTGAAAGTTTGTGCAGGTTTACCACTACGTGTATGGTCTCTACTAAACTCAAGTTGAACTGTACAGGTAAACCTGTAAGGTAAGGCGTGTATGGCTTGCTTAAGATGGTACACGCCTGCCTAGAAGATGCCTGTTCACTGTGACCTTGAAGATTTATTGGTTATTATATTGGTTTATGATTGATTAGTTTTTGTATATTGGTTTTGCTATATTGACCCGGGAAAACTGACCTCGGCAAGGAGTTCCACTCCCTAGCCGTTCGCATAATGAAAACGGAAGCAAATTGCTTCGTGCGAATGAGAGGAACTTCGACAACATAAGGGTGAAAGTCCATTATAATTTTAGGTAATCTGCCTGATGGACTAAGAAAAAAAATGTCATCATCCCTATTTTTTATTAAATACTAGAGATAGATGATGTCAATACGCATCTCACCTTTATACACGTAGTCATTTATAACGGTTCATTGAAAAATAGCTCGGGGACGTTCACTTCCATTCGTTTGACTTTTTATTATTGAATTTTAATTCGCGGTTGAACTGAACATGACTACATGAGTATATTGGAGTATAGCCAAATGCACTGTTCTTTTAATTGTTTTTTGCACGAACGTATTTATGAACTTTGTGTAGACAACTCTGTTCTGCTGCTCTGTTCAGCACTAAACTAGAATTTAAAAACAATACATAAAGTCGCAGCGCCTCGTAAAGTAGGAACCTATGAAAAATATCTTGCTATATGAGATTGCAGCCAATAATTACGTTCATAAAGTGTAAAACTATTTTACTTTGTATTTATAATACCTAACTAGATAGGTACGAGTACGTTTGTAATGTAGGTTCAGCTATCAGATGCATTTTGGTTAGTATGTTGTAGTAAATAAAATAGTTTATTTCGTTAACCTTATTTTACAATATTATTCTGTGGCCAGAACTACCCAGGAAGCATGTAGTAATGGTTGTGTTGGGCGGCATCTTATACATTTAAGGTAACTAAATAACTACTCTATATAATTACAAAATAACTTTTTCTTTTCAAGGTATAGATATAATTAAATGAAATTAAATCCTGGTATGTGTGTTTGTGATGTATGTTTTTATGTGTGTGTGTATGTGTGTGTGTTTGTGTGTGTGTGTATTTGTGTGTGTGTGTGTGTGTGTGTGTGTGTGTATGTAGAACCTATATGATTGGCCATTCTGTCTCTCCTCTAGCCCTACGATATAATATATTGGGATCGGTAAGTACCACTAGAATTGATTTTATTGCCTAGGAATCGTATTTAAATAACAAGTCCTCTATGTCATTGTAAACAAGCGTCTCGAGTTTAAGTAATTTTATTTTTATCTCATCAAAGTACGTAAATTAGAACTGTACCCCTTTTTTTTAACGATGAGTAATCCCTTGACGGACCTTACCGTACGCTGGCGAGGCGCACGGCATGTATGGGACTCACCCGGCGCTGGATACAGCGCCGGTCCTACCCACTAAAACTCACCGGTACCCTCCTACGCCCATGTGGAAGCGTCTTGGGATCGGCGCACCTCTGTATGCGCCATTTCACCGAGACGCCCCCGGAAAAAAAATACCCCGCTCAGGATCGAAACATCGATCAGCTGGTACCGACCCCAAGACCGTAACCGTTCGGCTATCCGTCTCTTAGAACTGTACCCCTAGCACGAACCATTATCGAATCACAGTAGTTTGCAAACCGAAATGTCAATGTCAAATTTTGTATGGAAACTTGAACAGCAGCAGCACAAAGTACGTAACGAGAACTAAAAATCAGTACACATTTGACAATGATATTTCGGACTCGCAAACAATACGAATTCGATATTGGTTCATGCTAGGGCTACTGATCCCAATACCAAACGTAGGTTTTTATTTGACCATAGCAAAACCTCTGGCCCTGATAATGTTGACTCGACGACACGAACTCTTTTACTACTAAGACGCGGTATTTAAAAGTTTATGTTTTTCTTCGACAGTAGTAGTACAAGAACTGGTTGACACCTACCTTTTCGACCTTTTTGTGCCTTGATTTATAAGTTTACTGGAACTTCGGAAACATTTACCAATTTTTCTCCGTGGAAAGCGAATAAGAAATAGAATACGTACACCCCAGGGGAAAGTTTCATCGCAAAAGTTGCAATACTCAGCAAATTTCTTCATTTATCTGAGAAACAAGCTTTTGTTATCATTTATTACTTTGAGTTAAGATTAGTAGCTTAATTTGATTCCTTAGCTATTTTCTTTTTTGCTTTTGAATTATTTTGTGTAATAAAAGAGATTTCAAGAACTCTTTTTACGCGCGACAGCCAACAATATTTAATATCGTTGGTAACAGCCACGATTTTCTCAAAAAAGTTGGATTTACAAAATTGCTGCGCTCTTTGTTGAATTAGTCCTCTTCATATTGTAATATCGTCTAAATAAAATGTTTAAATAAATATTCTATATTTTAAGCACTGAACTGAAAGTCATTCAAAATAATTTATTTAAAAAAAAGTAGTTTTTTTTTTAAATACATATATTATATATTTAAACAATTGACTAATCGTCCTGTATAAATAATACATACAAATGTTTTGCAAATCTTTAATCAGTTATCAGTGTACTATGGGTAGTATCCCTCTACCGAGTAACGAGAATGACTTGATCTTAATTTACGATTGATATCTAATTCACACATCGTCAAACCTTTTTTAAAGTTTTGTATCATGTAATATGCTTTAGAGCCATAATATTAATTAATTTAGGTAAGTCTCGCGATACGAACATATAAATAATAAAAAAATAAAAAAACACGACTGCCGTTAAAAAATTAACGCAACAGTAAAAAATGTCAGTATTTATCTCGTTTCATAGGTAAACTCGTTTATTCATGCTTCTTTATTTGTATGTATTTGATATGTTCTCATTAAAACCTTTGAAATCATATCAATATTGACATTTTGATTTTGATGTTATTTCAATTTTAACAGTTTATGTATTTTATCTTGCCCAAGATGGTGAAAGAATTCTAATGATACCACATACATCTCATAATCTCATAATTAGTCCAGGCCTTTAGAAGTTGTGGTGGAATAAATAATTGCACATACGTACTTTTTTGGGCAGTCTTGTAAAAATATAATTAAAATGCCTCGACTAACCGTCATTTCCAACTAATCGGGGTGGTCAGAGTGTTTCGTATACTCTGTTCTACTAAGAAAAATCAAACTTCTAAGTAAAAAAACGATACGTCGATTTATGTTGCGTAACGTACATGGTATCTTACCTACAATTTAGTATGGAAACCTCGGAGAGCGAGTCTAACTTGCACATGTCCGGTTTTTTTATATGAACCGATTGAAGATAAAAAGAGATAAAAGTAAGCTTATTAACGTTTATGTGTTTTAGATGTAACAAAGCTATGTACGCCAACCGCGTATCCTACTGGATCGACGGGAAGGGTCCGTCGTATGCCCTAGACCTAGCTTGCTCGAGCTCGTCAGCTTGTTTGGAACATGCGTACAGGAGCATCAGTACCGGACAATGTGACGCCGCCATTGTAGGAGGTTGCAATCTGTGCATGCATCCTTGTATGTCTTTGAACTTGATGAGGTAAGCATTTTTCTCTCTTGGTGCTATAAGTGAAGCAAAATATGTCAAGGCCTAGGCCAAGGATTCTTAATAGCCCTTAAAGAGGTTCGTTCGGCGGCTGAGATGTGGATAACTCCTCGCTTGGTCCAGCAGTATTTAAAGCCTTACTGTTTCGCTCCAAGCCTTATGTTTCAACTTAAATTTCTATTTGTAGCTACGAGTCTCTCATTGACGTATATTTTATTCTCTAGACCTTTTTGTTCGACGTCTGTAGTTGTATTAGTTTCGAGCCTCGGAAGCCTTCATAAAATCATCATGTGTTCTTTTACGATTAAAGCGCAACGCTACTAGTCTGTTGTACAGACTCCAAGTTCAGATCCTGCGAGTTGGGGAGTAATTGTTACCAACACCAACAGAAACTGAACACCACTAGAGGTAGTCTTCTGTAAGGCGGAGGTTACTTCCTATGAGTTCACCTAATATTTTTTGATGTGTAACATCTTTCCTCCGCTTTCCTGCAATTTGTGAGAGTGGTTTCGTGAAATGTTTGAATGAAACATTATGCAGCGAAGTTGTCTCCCGTGCGTACGCGCTTGTACCAACTCTCTTACTCTTTGGGGTGTGTTCTGGAGGCTTGGAGGGATGCCAATGTGCAACCGGTGCACAAAAAAGGGGACCGCTCAGACCCGGCTAACTATCGGCCGAGAGCTGTCACTTCAGTGTTGTGTAGTCTTAGAAAGGGTCCTTAACAACCATCTGACCCGCTACCTAGAAGATTACTCTCTGATTCACGATCGTCAATACGGATTTAGGCCGAATCGATCGATGGGTGACCTTCTAGCGTACGTGACACACATCTGGGGTGAAGCTATAGACAAGCGGGGAGAGTCTCTAGCTATTAGCCTTGACATCGCCAAGGCTTTTGACAGGGTCTAGCACAAAAGCATTCTCTCCAAGCTTCCCGCATACGGTCTGCCTGCTCAGCTCTGTGCCTGGGTAGTTGACTTCCTGCGTGAACGTAGAATTAGCGTCCTAACAGACGGATGTAGTTCGCAGTTCATGTCAGTGAATGCCCGTGTTGCTCAGGGCTCCGTTCTATCCCTCACACTCTTTCTGCTGCATATCTATGATTTGATTTCACTTGCGAATATTTATTGCTTTGCAGACAATAGTACAGTGCATGCGAGGTACTTTGGACACGCAGCGGCTGGGCAGGTAAAAAACAAGGAGAAATGGGAGAACCTTGTCGCTGAACTCAATCTGGCTTTGCACCATATTTCCGAGTGGGGTACCAGCAACTTGGTTGAGTTCAATGCAAAGAAAACTCAGGCTTGCGCTTTCACGGCAAAAACATCGCCATTCCTTCCCCTTCCCTCTCTTCAGGGCACAAAATTGGCGCTACAGAGCAACATTACCATGCTTGGTATGGAAGTTTGCTCAGACCTGAATCCAAACGAATATACCGAAACCGTGATTAAAACAGCTTCACGCAAACTCGAAGTCCTGAACAAGGTGCGACGTTTTCACGTCCGATCAACTGTGCTTGTTGTACAAAACGCAAGTGCGGTCCTCCGTGGAATATTGCTCGCACCTCTGGGATTGCTCCGCTAAGTACTTACTCGATGCCTTGGATAGGTTGCAGCGGCGCGCTGCCCGCATCATTGGCGATGAAGAGGTAACTCAGAAACTCGAGTCTCCACAATTACGCCGCGATGTTGCATCATTAAGCGCATTCTACCGAATATACCACGGCGAGTGTTTTGAGGAGCCATTCTCCCTTATCCCTCCATCACCTTTTCTTCAGAGAACCACGAGCGCTGGCCTACGTTGCCACCGACTTACTGTGGCTACTATTTCTACACGAACAAAGAAATTTGGTGACTCATTTCTTTGACGTACTATTCGTAAGTGGAATTCTTTACCCGCGCAAGTGTTCCCTCCTTCCTATACTCTGGAGTCCTCTAAGAGACACGTGTAGAAGCATTTTTGCAGGCCGGCAAGGTGAGGATGATTGGTGTAGCAGTTTATAACTGCTGTACCTGCTATCTTCGTATTTGGATTTTATTACCACTTAACATCAGGTGGGGTAGAGTCATATGCCTACCTCTATATAAAAAAAAATATGCGACGAATGTGTGAACAGGAAGTCGCGAAAGCGCGCGCTATGTGATTTAGTTTTAGAACATAATGTCAAATGGCAATATAATACTAAAATAAGGTGAGGTTTCAAATGTTACACATCATACGCGACTACTGTAAGGCTCGCTCGTTTTTTTTTCCGTATTTACTGCGTTAGTAGATGTTAACGATATGAAGTAGTCCCGGTAGAAAAGTAAATACAAGAAAGTGCCTACATCTAAAAAATACAATACGATGTTCTGAAGTTATTTTATTTTTATTTTTATTTTAGGGCTGGCTTTTTGTGTTTAGATGGAAAAAGCAAGTGTTTTGACAAAAATGGTGATGGCTATGTTAGATCTGATGCAATCAGCGTATTATTTCTTCAAAAAGCAAGGGACGCTAAAAGGTAAATATCGAAATGGTTAAAATAAAGAACAATTTGCTTTGTGCAACTTTCAAATTTGTATTAAAAAAATAAAGTAGCAATTATTCTACAAGTACGAACAATAATTGTTTTTATTTAAATCAGATTACGTTAGTAAAGTACACTCATAAAAATTCATCAAGCAATTTTTTATATTTTAGAATATATTCAGAAGTATACCACGCTAAAGCGAATTACAGTTTGAGATTCGATGACCAGTTTCTATCTATACGCCATCCAAAAGAAATTGAAGATTTCTTACAAGCTTTCTATTCTGAAATTGACGTATCTCCAGAAGAGGTTGAATATGTAGAGGGACATGGATCAGGTAAAGAAGACAAGATTATCATCATCAACTTATCAATATTCCCACTGCTGGGTTACATCTCCGCACATGGAGGCAAAAGGGAGATCGGGTCAAACCATCGCGCAGGCTTAACAAAATGCCGGAGATAATATATACCTATTTGGTTTTTCATGTTGTATGCGGCAAAGCAAAAGTTTATTAGCTTCCAGGATCGCAACTGAACGCACTAGCCACTATGCTATTGAAAGTTTCCAAAAGAAGGATATTGTTGACATAATATAGTTTAATGTTGCATGGTAGAGTCTGTACGGAAAGAGAGTGGGATTTAGATTGGAGGGCGCTGTAGTGCTTTTCTACCGTATTTGTAAGATTTTACCCCTTTTAGACATGATTAAATACAAAAAAACAGCAAAAAATCACAACAACTAACAAATCCATATCAATACAAAACTTTGACGTTTTACAGATTGCTGGGTTTGATTGCTAAATAAAAATCTTAATGTTAGTTCCATTTTTCGCCACGCCCATTCTCTTTCCGCACAGACTCTACCAACCACATTTTTTATCCCTACGATACTAACTACAATCGGTTTTTTTATACAGAGTGGTCCAACTACTGACGTCAACATTTTTTTAGATTCCTCGCACCTGGGGGTATCCGAAAATACCCCATGTATGTTTCGCGATTTTTCATAGTTTTCGAGTTATATTTTTTTTTGTGTATTTGTTAATGATTATTGCCAGCGAGGTTTAAAAAATTCATATCTTTTTTCGTAGTAAGTATATTGCAGTTTTTTTTGTGAGTTACTTGTCTTAAATGTTGTTTTAATAAAAAAAATAACTCAGCTTCCTGAAATTACTTAAAGTTACTCAAAAAAGGCTTGAAAGTTGGAACTATAGTTTTTAGTAGGATTTACTTAAACATTCAACTTCAATTTAAAAATACAAAAAGGAGTTTCCATAGCTTCTGGCTAAAATTAAAAACTCCGCATGCTTCTAAACTACCAAAAATCATAAAAAAATGTACTTAGTAAGCCTATTTTTAAGGCGGATAGGCTAAAAATCGTTGAAACACGATTAAAGCATTTAAAATTATTTTATCTACTTTTTATCATTGTAAATTAAACTTAAAAATGTAACTTCAAATTAAATTTAATTGAAATTCCGGTAAAATAACTTTAGCATGTGTAATTTTATAATAATTCGGTTTCACCACTAAGATTTAAAATCTTTTTCTCAAGAATAAAAATCAAAATGGCTAGTTGGGAAATTGCCTGTTTTTTGATAACAAATTAAAAGCAGAAATTACTGAAAAAATACTATTTATTACAGTAAATTTTCAATACTCCTTCTTCCAACCTGAATACAAAATTTACAACGTCTTAAAAAGTTATGTTTTAATTGTCTAAAGCTTATACTTACTTGCTTAATTTTCTTTCCGCTTCTGTAAGTTTTGGTCTCAATCCTTGTTTGCTGTTGCTTTCCATCCCGTACACTAGCTCTTTGTAAAATCCCCAAATAAAAAAATCGATGGGGTTGAGGTCTGGCGAACGCGCAGGCCATTCGATCGGCCCTGCACGCCCGATCCATTTTCGGGATATGTGGTGTTCAAATGCTCTCTTACTCGTGCCGCATAGTGACAGGGCGCGCCATCTTGTTGGAAAATCATCCTTTGTCGGGTCTGGAGATTGACGTCTTTTAACAATCCAATGAGATTTTTTGTAAAAATCTAAGTAACTGTTTCCATCCAACCTGGCCGACAATTCAAAGGGGTCAATTAATTCTCCATTTAGGACCCCAGACCAAAGGTTGACACTAAAGCGTGTTTGAAAATTTGACGCCCTTGTCAAATGTGGGGTTTCTATGGCCCAGCTATGGTATTTATGCATATTGAATACTCCAGTCATTTCAAATCGAGACTCATCGGTACACAGTATTTTGTTAAAAAAATCAGGGTCTTCTTCAGATCGTTGCAACATTGTTTGACAAAAAGCCACTCTTCTCGGGTAATCAGATTCTTGGTGCTGCTGGCTGCGCTGAATGTGGTTCGCGTGGTCCCCTCCTGTAAACAAAAATCATTGTTAAGTACCCAACACAGGTGAATTGGTTACAGCGCGGTCTGTACAAAATGGGTTTGGGAGAAAGAGACAATCACCTAGATCACAGATAGATTACTATCTAAACGATGCTTACATAAAAACAAACTAAATCAAGATTTGATTCCTTTTTTACAACACAATTAAAAGCTTATGTAAGTACCAACTTTTTAAGGCTCACCACTCACCCTCCTTAAGAATTCTTAAAATCGTAGTCCGTAGAATCCCGGTTCGCCTAGTTATTATCCTCGAACTTGTAGACGAGTCTCTTTGAATTTCTTCCAAGACTGCTTCCACTTGATCTGCATCCTGGGGTACAGCTCCGCGAGATTGATTTCACCCGGGGATACGTCCAGCCATCAGGGTATCATGCGAGGTGCAATACTCTTTAATAATAAGGAGGTGCTCACTCGCACTTACAGTTTTAACGGACCTTTGAAATAGCGATGAAACCGATTTTTTTGTAAAATTACACACGCTAAAGTTATTTTACAGATATTTCAATTATGTAGTATTTCAATGATTTTTAGCCTATCCGCCTTCGAAGGCCAATTACAACTAAAATAGGCTGGTTAAGTACTATTTTTTTATGATTATTGGTAGTTTAGAAACATGCGGAGTTTTAAAATTTAACCAGAAGCTATGGAAACTCCTTTTTGTATTTTTAAATTGAAGTTGAATGTTTGAGTAAATCTTACTAAAAACTAAAGTTCTAACTATCAAGCATTTTTTGAGTAACTTTAAGTAATTTCAGGTAGCTGAGTTATTTTTTTTATTAAAACAACATTCAAGACAATTATGTGACAACAAAAGATTGCAAAATATCTACTACGAAAAAAGATATGAATTTTGGAAACCTCGCTGGCAGAAATCATTAAAAATACACAAAAAAAATATAATTTGAAAACTAAGAAAAATCGCGGAACATACATGGGGTATTTTCGGATACCCCCAGGTACGAGGAATCTAAAAAAAATTGTTGACGTCACTAGTTGGACCACCCTGTATAAAAATCTCATTATTCCAGCCCTTGCTGAAGCAGATGGTAATGAATTGGAAGCCATAGGAAAAGTATTTGCTAAAGATAAAACAGTCAAAGTGGGCAGCGTTGTTTCCAATATGGGTCACAGCCAGCCTGCCTCAGGCGTTTGTGCATTGACTAAGGTAAGAGTTACTGCAAGCAGATAAAACATTATATTAAAATCTGTTGAGAACAGTACAAATTTATTTGCATAAGGCCCATAATTAATTATAGATTTGGGTATTTGGAAAAAAAGTCATAACTTTAATTTTTTATGCAATAGCTGCTCGATGTTCTAATCAAATAATAAATCTAAAAAAAATATAATAAATATAAAGAAATACTAGATAAAAATCCACGCGAACCGGGCAGCAGACGGGCCTTAGCCCGCACCCTTCGCTATCCGGGCGAATGCACTGACTGTTATGCTACCGCGGCGCTGACAGCTGAATTCTTTCTTAAGCTGCAAGGCATTGCCATTTCTTCTTTTTTTGCGGCATCAATTTTGTTAATAGTTTTATTAAATACCTTCATCAGACATACCTATTTGCAATGTATTTACTTTGTATGGATTGACTCTGGTTCTTGAGATATTCAATATAAAAGTGATCATATATAAAGGTATTAACCTACCTTCCTAGGTTGTACTAATTTGAGCATACCCAACCAAATTATGTTTTCTATTCACCTAGATAAAACAGTAGTTATAATAGTTTAGGTTATATGAGATATTAGACGTTAAGAATATCGGTTTGTTCTTCTTTAAGTACATTGCATTAATTCTCTTGTTAGTCTCGAAAATTTTCTGCTAACGATCCAAGCAGCTTTTTTTTAAAGTGACAAATTTTGTCAGCAAAAACAAAGAGAAAAGATGACTGGTTTTGTTAATCAAGCCTACCAGGCTTATTTGGAATAAAACTTGTTCAAAAAAAATAAAAAAAGGGTCCAAGTATTGAAATGTATTACTTTATTTTCCTCTCCGATAGTGGGGCCACAGAGGACGTAAAGGGCAATTATATTAGAAGTGCCGATCATATGGATTGAGCCAACTAAACTAATAAATAAATGTGCAAGGTATCAATCGTTACAAAAAACATTCTTGGGTATATCTTAATGTGGTATCGGCTAAGCTCCAAATATTACACAGTAGAGATTTGCCAGTTCCAGTATTTAGAAGAAATTGAAATGTTAGAACAATTAAATAGACTGAAGATCAATGCTGAAAGTGAATTTGAAGAATGTAATTTAAATCATGGGATTTTTCTCAACAGGAGTTTAATGATGGTATGGAAAAAAATATGCGCATCCAATTACGTTTAATATAATCGCTTAGATATATTCCCTGATAAACTTGGCGATTAGTGAGGATCAAGGACAACGGTTCCATCAAGACATTAGAACAGTGGAAAAGCCATACGATGGCAGACTATTACTGAAGTTTATTATGGAATGTTCTGAACATAAACAAAATAGAAAAGCCTCCAGAAAAAGTTTTTTTTGTATTTTTTTATGATTTGTTTGACAAGAAAAAAATCAGATTTGTCAAATTGACTCTAGTTTATGAGATAAAACTTAATAAATATTTAACTGATAGAAGGTCTTAATAAAAATTCATCGATAAAAAACTAAAATACAATGTGTGCTATTAACACATCTATCTAATTATTTTTCTTGTATTCAGCATACTGAACTCACTCAAAATTTACATCAACTTATCATGCCGCAAATGAATGTTCTCCAGATGCTCTGATATTCACTTTATTGAGTGTATTCTAAGTTTAATAACATCTTACGTTTTTTAAGCTGTTAAAAACCAAAACAAAATAGTATTAACTTTTACCAAAATTTAGGCATCACTTTGCTAGAAGTCATCTAAGTACCTATAGGTTGGTAAAAACGAGTATTAGATTATTTAAATCTAGGCTAATCAAAGGCCAAGGGCTAACTCACAGAGAGGTGTTTCCCGCACTCGACGCGGGCGACCGCAGAGCGGTTTTTACTTCAAACTCACGAGACCGCAGACCCGCGACCGCGGCTGCTGCGAGATCCGGCGAAACCCACCGTGTCTGGTGATCGCGTCCCGCGCGCGCCCGCAGCGGGTACCGCAAACACTCGCGAGCTTTGCGGACGCAAATCGCGCTGTGAGTTTTGCTTTTGCGTTAGAGCTACAATTTCACATTCTACGCTAGTTGCGATTTCGCAGCTGCGGCAGGCGCGGGAACAGATTGCGCCATGACTTCTTAGCCTAATACGACTTCCCTTTATGCTAGGTTTGCCTAGCTTACCACAAAGGTGAACTTCCCGCTAATCTTCACTACACTCAACCTCAAGACCATATCCCATCGGTCAAAGAAGGCAAAATCGAAGTGCTGCAAGAAAATGTTCCTTTCGAGAGAGGTTTTACAGCTGTCAACAGTATTTCCTACTCTGGAGCCAACGTTCACGTGTTACTCAAAGGACACTATAAAAAAAAGGTAAGGAAAATGTTTATATGGCACTTTTATAATACGGCTACCTTCAATACTTCAAGTAAGTAGTCCGTGAAGCCTAAAAAGAAGAGCAAAAGTTAAGAAGTAAACGTTTATATACGTGGTTCATAGCCCGTTATTAACTAGCTGTATCCGCAACTTCGTTCGCATGAATGGCGAAAATGTGTTTTATTTTTTATTATACTATAATTTTTTTACTAAAATTATTTATGCCATCGGTGTTTAAATTGATTCAGTTTTTTTAATGTTTGATATAACTTTATTGGTAATTGCCTTATCTGTAATACTTTTAGGATCCTGAAAGATACAAAACCAACATGCCTAGGATTGTGCTGGCTTCAGGCAGACAAGAAGATTGCGTCATGAAAATTTTCAATATTCTGAAAAAGCAACCAGTTGATCCTGAGCAAATTGGACTACTTCATAACATCCATGAAAACGAAATCCCTGGCCACATGTGCCGTGGATATATTTTATTAGGTAAAACTTCAAAAAAATTTAATAGTAAAAAATCCGAAGTTTTATTCCAGATAAGTATAATTGGCATTTATACAAATCGATTAATTTATTTACAAATTGCAATTCAAATTTTAGATTTGCAGAAGTATTTCATAGTAACTTATGCAACTATTGTTTAATGAGGGGTATAAATACCACGAATGGTGATAATTGTATCACATGAGTTTTTTAATACCTCATTATGACCTGTTGCATACAAGACTTTATCTACCCAAAATATGAATCCTCTATAAAAGATTCTGACACCTTGGAGCGTTCTAAAAACTTAAAATTCATCAAAAGTTTCACCGCTGTGGTGATGAAATGTGCGTGGATGACAAAGTTTTTTTTTATATTCATAATACCACGCATCGAGCAATGAAAATTTTGCCTGTCTGATGAGTACTTCCTAGCGCAGAACGGATTTAAAAGGCGAAGGAATACCAATTATGATGAAATTTAGTACAAAATTAAAACAACAGTTTGGGTGTTATAATGGTTTTTCTTTTTAAAATTTTCTATGTTCGCAATAAGCCGTTTCAGAATCTTTAATAGAGGTTTTAAAGCATGATTGTAGATAAAGATATTGAAACGCATGCTTATAATAACTAGTGGAAGTATTAAAAGTTGCAATATAATTTTACACAAAAAAGTATTTGAAAGGAGAGAAGGTGACAAGTATTTTAAATTGATTTGTTTCGTAACCAAACGGACTCTAATAACTTATGAAGTTTTATAAAACGGCCGGCGAGCGTACGGTGCAAATTCAATACTTTCACAACTCTTTTTTATTTATTTAATAAGGATGGTATGTAAGTAAATGACGCGTCTGATATTAAGCTGCTATTTTCGTTATAAGCGCTTGTGGCACTGTGTAAGCAGTATCCAGCAGGAGACTATTACAAATAAATAAATACTTATTAAATAAAATAAATTAACACTAAATATTAATGCCGTAGCCGTCTTTTGCTAGGTAGCGAATCCACTGTATTTTACCTCTTAGAAATATAAAAAATGTTTATTTGAAAAATATTTTTTTAAAGAAAACCATTCATTACTATTTAACCGCCTAGCAATCAAATGATCAAATAAAAAAATATTCACCGATACTTCTTTCAAATGTTTCATACAAAAAAAATATCACATTTGTATTTGTAGAACTTCGAGTTCGTCGATAAGGTCACTCAGTAGCGTCCGTCGCCGTCAGATCGATTCCTGACTACCAAACCTGGAAAAGATTCCAACGAATGAAAGAAAAAAATCTTCTTTCTTTTTACAGACACAAATCTTGAAAGAAACGAGACAGTGAGTCTAGCTGAGAATGTGGACCACTACCCGGGTAATGTCAGGCCAATTTGGTTCGTGTATAGCGGCATGGGTTCGCAGTGGGCAACCATGGGTGCAGGACTGATGACTATTCCGATATTTGCCGCTGCGATTGAAAAGTAAGTGCTATCTAGTTTATTTCTCATATTTTCAAACCCTAAATTGTTTGGTTAAAACACTTTATAACTAGTTCTTCTTATGTTACAGTTCTTGTCATTTTAAATCGTTTTTCAACTACTGGGAACAAGTCTTTCTTGTGTCCTTCTCTGAAGTCTCGTGACCATTAGCCTATTTTTAAGCTATTGCATAGATTTCGAGATCGTGGACTTTGAGCGCGGCGACCGAATCAAGAAATTCCGTAACGAAAAAACCGACCACCCCTCACTCCGACAGCACATCGGTAGAGTGGGTAGAATGGTAGTGGGAGGAACGGGAGGAGTGGGTAGAGTGGTACTGGGCAGAGTGGTAGAGAGGGTAAAGTGGGTAGAGTGTTAGTGGGAGGAGTGGGTAGAGTGGTACTGGGTAGAGTGGTAGAGAGGGTAAAGTGGGTAGAGTGTTAGTGGGAGGAGTGGGTAGAGGGTACTGGGTAGAGTGGTAGAGAGGGTAAAGTTGGTAGAGTGGTAGTGGGAGGAGTGGGTAGAGTGGTAGAGTGGATAGAGTGCATGGAGTGGTAGAGTGGTAGTGGGAGGAATGGGTAGAGTGGTAGTGGGAGGAGAGGGTAGAGTGGGTAGAGTGATAATGGGAGGAGTAGGAGTGGTAGTGGGAGGAGTGAGTAGAGTGGTAGTGGGTGGAGTGGGTAAAGTGGGTGGAGTGGTAGAGTGGGTAGAGTGGTAGAATGGATAGAGTTGGCCGCGTCCACGAGTGATTTAGAACCCGCAACTAGTTGAACCTTAATGTGCATATATATACGTGTACGACTGTACGAAGCTCGCAAGGATCGAGACGAGCTGCTCCGAAATCGGACGAATACGTAAGCAGCTGTTTGTGAGATAGTATATAGGTGTATAGGTATCTATCATCTATGTACAACAGTGAATAGGTGTACGCGGAAAATTTGTGTAACTTTTCATTTATTCAATAAAAGAAAAAAAATGTTTTTTTATCAGTCACTACGCTCAAAAAGTGTAACTTGAATTAATATCAAAGAAAAAAAATACTGCATAAATTAAATAATTATAATTGCATATGTTGATAAAAAAAATGTTATACAATAGCTTTACCGCGGCAGTCCTCGAGTGCCACACGTATTTTTTTATTTTTTTTCCCCTACAATAGTAGGTCTAATAAGACCACAGACCTTCCCTATGGATGGGTTAGGGAAATAATGCCATGATCCAGTGCAGATTGGTGGTGGCTAACGACTGCAGATACAGCTAGGACCAACGGCTTAACGCACCTTCCGTAGCACTTATTCGTTAATTCGAGGTCTAATTGGACTAAAGACACCTATGAGGCTCTGCCGACCCCATCATATATATTTTTATATGTGAACATCTTTCTTTATATTCAGGTTATATCAACATTTTACCATTTTTAATGAAACAGGTGCCGCCGCGTTCTAGAGCCAAAGGGCATCGACCTCATGAAAATTCTAATAGATCCAGATAAAAGCATATACGACAACATTTTGCACTCTTTTGTCGGCATCGCTGCTGTTCAGATTGGCCTTACTGATATTTTAAAGGAAATAGGGGTCGTTCCTGATAACATCATAGGTAAATAAAGTTATAATGTTAAGATCATTATCATAAATTAATCATTTTGTATGTTAGGCTGAGACCACATTGCAAAGAACCAACTTAAAGGAGATTCACGGTACACCGTATCGCGACCGGGTCGGGCTCCAGCAGGTAGCACGTCTACCGTGCGCCTGCCGGGCTACTCAATAATGCTACACTGGGCTGTTTGCGTATATTCTTTGCACGGCCGTGTGTGATAAGTGCTTTGTGTCAACGAGTGATTTCATCGGTCGATAGACGTGACGCTTAAGTAAATGTGCAATTTTAACAATTTCGCAATTCGCAGCTATTGCAATTGCCATCGATGACGAAGTATTGGAAAAAACGAAGCGAAACTACTAAAAGAATATGGGGTGTACATCCAACCTGGAGAAAGCAAGAAGCAGAAGGAGAATTTCCACACATTCTAATAATTTTTCATCATCAATTTTACTGTTAAGCTGCCCACCTCACTAAGATTTGACGTTGCCTGCTCTGCGGGCGCCCGGGCGCATGTTTATGTTACAACGTGATGGGTCAGGCATGAATTACTTGATACAAAAAGTATGCCATAATTTTTGACCGTTCGCGACACGGTGTAGCGTGAATCATTCTTAAGACACCTAACCATCCGCCAAGCAACGCGCCTACGTCGAGGACTAGCAAAATTAAAAAAGAATGTCTTTAAGCCTTCAACTTAACCTTAGTTTGATTTGGCTTAAGTTGTATATAATTATGTGCTGGCTTTTTCCCGCGGCTTCGCTCGCGTTAAATTAGATTTTTTTGGAGATCGAACTCTATATAACCTTCGAACCCCCATTTTCCCCGTTAGGGGGTGAGTTTTGGAGAATCCTTTCATAACGCACGCCTACATTATAATATCTATTTGTGTGCCAAATTGCAGCGCAATCCGTTCAGTAGTGTGAGCTGTGCGTTGATATGTATGTTCTATTATGTAGGTCATAGTGTCGGTGAACTTGGATGCGCTTACGCAGATGGCTGTTTCACTGCCGAAGAGATGATTTTGTCAGCTTACAGCCGTGGTTTGGTTTCTGTTCAAACACCATTCATCAAAGGATCTATGGCCGCTGTAGGACTAGGATATAAAAAGGTAAGGACCATGGTATCGAAATGGTTGCAAAAAAAATGTTTTACTTGGATTTTTTTAAGTGCGCTTTGGATGTTGATGATGAAAAAGTTTCGTGTCCAAACTTTACGTAAATCTAAAAAGTTTCTAGGTTTCGCCTTTGATCGGATATGCACGTATGAAATAACAGATTCTGTATTTGTCTACTAACCCTTGGAATATTGCGTAGTAAATTTTTGGACAGTAAATGCCAAATATCAACTTTAATTTTACAAAAACGAAAATTTTATTTAATTGAAGTAGAAATTTCAGACCCGTATTTTTTGTTAGTTTTGTCCCTGTTATTCATAAATAAATATTTTTAAATATTCATATAAACTTTTCCTTTTACAAACATAATAAAAGTATTGAAAGTGATCATAGAAAATGTTGGCAATAAATCATGATTAAAATTTATTTAGGTGCTTCCGATGTGTCCGCCTGGGATCGAAGTGGCTTGCCATAATAGTTCTGAGTCTTCTACAATATCCGGCCCTGCTGATCTAATGAAAGAGTTCGTAGGAGAACTAACGAAACAAGGAGTATTTGCAAAAGAAGTACCTTGCTCTAATATTGCTTATCATTCTAAATACATAGCAGACGCAGGTGAGATTTTATTCTTTGTAGATAATATTCACGATTTGTTTAAGTTTGGTGAAACGATACTGATTATTTTTTCCTTTTTCTTTATATTATTTGATAGAGTTAGATAATACTGGGTAGTGGTTATATAATACCTATTTTATGAAAACTTGGTATTTAAATCAATTTTATTTTGTGAATGGTAATGGTAAGTGACTCTGTCATAATACCTATATAATTTGGCATATCGATTATCAGCATTTTAGGACTTTAACTGTGTGATATAATAAATATCTTTATTCTTCCTCTTTAATATCCAGCTATCAGTATATGAGATTTCGTTTTGTTAAGTCAATCATTATTTTGAAGGGCCATCTCTTTTGAAGTATTTGAGTGAAGTTATCACGGAACCTAAAAGTCGAAGTCCCAAATGGGTCTCAACATCAGTTCCTCAAAGTGAATGGGATGCACCTAAAGCTCAATTTTCTTCAGCCGAATACCACACTAATAATTTACTGGTGGGTTATTTTATTTATTATGATGTTGTATTTACATGTATTTTGAATAGAACATGAATTGAACGAAGTTACATTAAACAAAATTAACATTGCAGAATTCAGTTCTTTTTGAAGAGACGTCTAAACTAATTCCATCTAACGCCATAGTAATAGAAATTGCACCACATGGTCTTCTTCAAGCAATTTTGAAGAGATCTTTACCTCAATGTACACATATACCATTAACAAGAAGAGGAAACCAAGACCCAGTAAAATACCTACTCGACGCTATTGGGAAGTAAGTGCGACAAATTACTAAGGCAAGAGAATCCATTTGTTTTCAATTAATAATGATGATTTTTATTACTATTTACAGAATATACATAGCTGGAGTTAATCCCAAGGTTGACGTTCTATACCCTAAGATTGAATTCCCTGTATCAACCGAAACTTCACTTCTTTCTCATTTTGTTGACTGGGAGCACAGTGAAAACTGGTATGGCTAATTATTGCACTATTTTTTAGAAATTTATTCAAGAAGCAACACAATCATACCTATTGTTTTTTTTTATTGATCTTGTTAATGTTTTCTTCACATTATTATTTAGGCCAGAAGCTCAATACAATACTAAAGACAAAGTCATAGCAACAAGTCGACTCTGTGTGATCTCAATCCATGATGATGACTACAAATATTTGCAAGGACACGTGAGAGATGGTAAACTTCAACTTTTTGATTTCTTTGTAGCTACTATTAACTTTAAATTAGAATATAAAATGATATTTAAATTAAAGCATGTAACTGCAACATTTTCCTGTGTGGGTTTTTTTTTTCTAAAAACAAAAATCAGCTCCTGGCTTAAATTGACCTTTCGCAATATTTGTTTTTAATAAATTGGAAAACTTAGATATTGTGATATAATCTACATGAACAATAAAAGAAAACATTAACATATTTATGTTACAAAACCTTCCAATTTCAGGTGTCAATGTTTTCCCTGAAGCAGCAATTTTGGTTTTGGTCTGGGAAACATTAGCTATGTATTTAAATACGAATTACAGAAATCAAGCAGTTACCTTTAAAGATATCCAATTTCATACTGATGCAATTATTGATAAAGAGAAACCATTGAAACTACATATTATGATTTATAAAGGCAATGATGCATTTGAGGTAAGTTAAAGTGTTAAATATCTTTTCAGACAATATGAAGTTAATATTTTTTATTTGTGAGCTTTTTAGATTAATGTTGTACACAGTTATTCTCAGAATGGTAGAATGTGTTTATTAGTTATGATAATATGCTAATTACATATTTTAGGTTAGCTGTGACACTGTTAAAATAGCCAGTGGTAACATTACGCCTCTAAATAGTTCAACTATTACGTTTCGACCTATAGAAAACCCGGAAAAAATTGAAGAAGAGATAGTACTAACAAGTGATGATTTTTATAAAATCATGTATTTGAAAGGTTTCGATTATAGGTAAGTAAAGAAATGGTATAAATTTTGTTTAAAAGTAATCTTGGTAACTATTTAATGAAATGTCAATCCACGTTATTATTAACTTCATAAGTAATTATTGGTCTTAAGTTTTAATTTCTGTTTTTTTTTCAGGGACCTTTTCCGGTCAGTTGAAACAGTAAATTTTCATCGTATGACAGCAAATATTAAATGGACGGATGATTATATAACTTTTTTGGATAGTCTTATACAATTCAATATCTTCGAACAAAATCATGAAGGGTTATCCGTTCCTAAAATTATTCGTAAACTAACAATTGATCCTTTTAAGCAAACTACTGTTACAGAAAACCAATCTACAATCGAGGCGCAGATCCATCACTTTTACAAATTATCCAGGTTCTTTATTTAAATATAGTTATTAAATAAATATACCCATCAAAAAAGTCTAAGCAATATGTTGTACGGGTTTAAACTTTTGAACGATTTTTACTATTCTAAATTGTATTCTATTTCTATTATATATATATATATATATATATAATATGTGTATGTATACACTCCCTAATTAACTACAAAAAACTTACTTATGGTACTAAAATTTGCTAAAATTGGTATTTAATCTAGTGTTATTGTTATTAAACTATACACGACGATGTATTCTTACAATACGAGACAAAAAATAGTTGTGTTTGTAAGAAGTTTAGACACTGCTCACTATGGGAACATAACACAAACTTTTTTAACTTGTAGCTGGCCAGCTAATTAAGGACACTCGATTTGCTTAGAAGAAATAGAAAAACTATATAAATATACTATGCTATTATAAACGCAATCGAAAAGTTTTTATTTTTAAAATTAACCAATCTTCTTTGCTAAGAAAAAAATTAAACGTCAACTAATAAAACATACGTTTCTGTACATGAACCGTATTGCTTATACTTTTTTGATCTGTGTGTTTTTAAAAACCAGTTAAAAATTCTTTTACATAATTTTTTAAAGGTGTGGTGGCTTAGAGATGGAACAAATGGAATTTAGTAACTTTCCTGTAAAAGAAACTAAACCAGATGTTTTGATGACACAAACATTTATTCCACATTTCCTAACAGCAACTCTAAATGTATGTATAAGCCATTATAATTTACCATTAAAATAATGTACCTATCAATGTCATATCAATTATAGATAAGTTTTTGTTACAGCTGAAGTTAGCAATTCAAATAAATATCCAAATAGTGGCTGAAAATGGACCACAAAATAAATTGCACATAACCAACATGTTAACAGAACACTCTTTAAGCGTATCAAATAGTATAGAAGAGGTCGCTAAAAATGGTTTAATTAACGTCACAGTTGATAAAATAAAACCAGAAACAGTATTATTAAACACTTTGATAACAAATGAGCACGTTATCAAAAAATCAAATATGTTAATAGTTGATAACTTAGTGAGTAACGCAAAGGTAAGGCATTATTGTCAATTAAACAAATGTGTTTTTTTATAAAATGAATCAAGAATAATACGTTTTTCATATTTTGCAGAAAATGGATTTAATACATAGTACGATTCCTAAAGATTCATTTGTACTGGCTATAGAAGATGCTACCTTAAATGTTCTTTCAATATATGGGCAGTTTTATGTTATAACTGCCTTGTCAGTACAAAATAAGATATTGATTTTGCTTAAGAAAATTGATGATAGCCAAGATGTAAATGTTACTTATATTCCTATAACACATGACAAGAAGTTTTCCTGGGTACCAAGAGTCCAAAGCGAGCTTCAAAAATCTCGCAAAATTGTCTTAGTTTCTGAAAAGCAGCCGTATTGTGGATTGTTGGGTTAGTTATTACGAAGTTTGCGCATTAAAATTAACAGTGCATGAGTTTTTAATTCGCTGAAAATATTGAGAAAAATATTTGTAAATACTTTAAAAGATAATTGCAGACACTAAAACTAACATTACTGCTTTGAATAGGTTTAGTACGAAAATTAAAAGAAGGATTTGGAAAAAAGATCGGCCTGGTTGTCATTGATGATTATCATGCAGCATCCTTCCATCCTGGTAATGAAATGTACAAGAAACAAATGCAAAAGAACTTGTCGTTCAATATATACAAAAAGGTAAAATTATGCCTTCAAAAATAGATATATTATTTCATATGATATTTTTAAACATTTTAGTAAAAGGGAATCTAAGCACATCCAACGCCTTTAGAGTTAATATATTATTTGATTATTTATTCAGGGCCAATGGGGAGGATATTACTACTTGCCTAGCGAAACATCATTAAAGCTTGAAAATGCTACTTTAACTACAACTATTTTTGGTAGCTTGGAATCCTTATCGTGGATGGAGGCGCCTCTTCCAACAACAGAAGATGGATTAGTGAAGGTATGACTTAGTAAAGAATCCTACGTCCCACAAAAATGACTACGTCATCATCTTTAATAAATCTCATTTCTCTGAGTCCGACCATTAACCATGACAGTGTACTACTGATGCCCAAGAAAAAAATTTACAGTGTGATATAGACAAATAATATATTATTCGAAAACATTAGTACCTAACTTACAGTTTTGAAATCGAAATTATTACAATACTTATATATTTTGCTGCGTTCTCGATATATTTGCCGACTGTCAATTACTTTCGTTTTGTAATGTGTGTTTCTGTTGTTATTTCAGTAATTCTTGTTTCGATAATCGCACATCTTTAGAATAAAAAGAATCTTATATCCTTATCCTGATAAAAGAATTTGATGTGCCAAAATTCATCCCAATCTATTAAGTTGATTTATGTGAATAGCACATCTAAACATACAAAATTACCCTTTTATAAATTCGATTACTTTGAAACTCATAATAGTTTACCCTTCGAACTGTTTTGTTTAAATAATTTCCCGTTTCCTATTTTGATAACTATTCTTTTATAATTTTAGGTCAAATATGCTGCTTTATCTTTAAAAGATGTAAAAAAATCTTTGGGACAGTCTATCGACGATAACAAGAGTTTTGGTATGGATTTTAGTGGATATAATAAGAAGTAAGTTAATTTTTTATTTTGGCATTGTCTCTGTGCCTACCTCTCCTTTATCAATGTATGAAGATGTAACGTGCGTGTGAGAGCGCGCGCATGTGTTTATGTGGTGTGTTTAAACTTCTGGATAATTTGTATTATAAATAAAAAATAAGTTATCATGCTTTATTAATACTGTTTTACTTAATATTTTTTTTGTTGTTGTAGGGGCGAAAGAGTGATGGGTTTAATATCAAAAGGAGCTTTATCTTCAATAATTACAGCCGACCCTATTTTAACATGGCCTGTGCCTGAATATTGGAGTCTAGAAGATGCTGCTACAGTTCCATTGCCATATGTCCATGCATATTACTGTTTGGTATGAATATGAGTTACAATATTAGTAATACTAATAAAATAGGCTTTATCTATTCTTGCTGATGTAAACTAAAATCATTGTTTCAAATGTAATAAGTGTGCTCCTTTCGAGTTAATAAATCGTCCAGACAAAGTTTACTATAGTTCGACATAACTTAACATTTCTTACATTTTAGGTGGTTATGAACAAAGTCTATCCAGGCATACATGGCAAAAGAGTATTCGTCAATGGTGGTGCGGGGGCATTAGGTCAAGCAGTTATAGCAGTATGTCTCGCTGCAAATTGTATCGTTTACACTTGCGTGAGTGATATAAGGAAGAAGAGGTTCCTAATGATGTTATTCCCAGAGTTAGATGGTAAGTTGACAGTGCTCGATACCTTGATGATTTTAAAATGTAAATATGGCAAGGCAATATTTTATATTTAATCATAGTATTTTGATTCTTAACGTATGTTTAGATAACGCTGTGCTATTGCACTACATAAATATTTTGTCTCAAGCCTACTTTTTTTAAAATAATCTGTTTTTTGAAGTTATACTTCTTTAGCCGCGTTATGAAAAAATTATGAGAGTGAAATTTTAAGATGCGCGCGCATCACTGTAACACAAAAGTAACATAATGAAGTTAGCCGCGGGCGCGTTGTGAAAAAATGATGAGAGTGAAATTTTAAGATGCGCGCGCAACACTGTAACAGAAAAGTAACACCATGAAGTCGGCCGCTAAACCGCACATTACTCGTAAGTCTCGAAAAAAAGCTTCCAACAAAATAGTAATAGGATCTCTTAGTCGCAATGTTGGGACGCTCGTCGCCTCTGATCACTGTTTTCATATTTATAATATTTATCCACATGTTTCTAGTTTCTATATTCTTAACACGTGTTATAATGTTATACAAATGCGAAATTTATATGTGCTAATAAATTTTAAGCAGTAGTGATTTAAATTGAATATTTTGATTATTTATTAAATTTTTCAAACTAAAACTGAACTTTATTGACTGCGTTGACTATCCTTTTCCAATCCTTTTATTATCTTATTGTAATTAATTATCTGCATGCAATTAAAAACTATTTTTTAATAATTCCAAAAAGAAGTATAACTTCTCACGCGCGTACTTAAGTACACGCACCCATTTTTTTTTTGTAATATATATATTATACACTATGAAAATATTTTTTCTATTAGAAAAAAACATCGGTAACTCGAGGGATGGCACATTCGAAGATATAGTTAATATCAATACTAAGGGCAAAGGCTGCCATATTTTGATCAACTGTGCTAACGGCACTTTACGTCAGGCAAGTATGGTTGAAATTATTTGTGGATTTTTTTAAAGTAGCGAGGGCATAATAATGTAAGGTATACAATAATATACCTACAGGTATTCATATATTTTTTTATTCCTATCTGGTATAAAAATATAAGTACATAATTACGTACTGGGGACATTTATTTTAATATTGCTTGCTTTCTTTAATATTCTTATTCATTATTTTATTCTATTCTGTTTTTCTATAGTGAATGTATTTATAGGCTGCCATGAGATGTAGTGGAGAGGAAGCAGTATTTATGGACGTTGATGATTATGATTCGAAACAAAACTGTGAATTTGGAATGTCCTATTTGAACAAAAAAAGAAACTATTTATCGATAAATATCTCACGTATATTTGAACCGGAAAATGTTGCGGAAAAGATAGTACGTATTAATGGATAAACATGGTCAGATACACATGACTGCTTTAAAAATTATTGACACAGTCGCATTTCCTTATTGTTAAAATATTTGCTTTTTCTACGTTTCTATTTCATTTCAACTTTGTAAATTAGCTAAGGAGCTATCGCCTTTTCTATATTGGTTTATCCTATGCCAGGAAAGATTTGTTTTAACGCTCTCTATCTCACATGGCGATGATTTTAAACTCAGTCAGGCGTGTCTATTTTTTTTTTATTATGCAGTTATTCTTTGGATTATATATGATATATGAACGCGTGTTATTTTTATTGTTCCTTAGAAACTTCAGTGGTCAATTGCCGATGGCATCAAATCTGGAACAGTAAAACCACTCAGTCGTGTAATCTATGAACCTAACGAAATCACAAGAGCTTTCCGATTGTTGTCTTCGAGTAAACATATAGGCAGAGTTGTTATAAAGATGACGAATAATGAATCGGACAACAAGGGAATCAATGTGCTTCCTAGGTACCTACATGTGTTTACATTCAATTATAACACTGCTGGAGCCCAAGAATTGGGCAACGCGAGCTCAGTGCGGATTGGTGGGTACTTACGACTGCAGATGCAGCCGGGATCGGACGGCTTTACATGCTATCTAAAGCACAAAGTAACACGAGATAATACATTTTAAGTCACCCATCTGATGACTGGCCATCGCAAAAGTTGCTCAAATTTCATGAGCACAGGCCGAGATCACCAAACCGATATCCTCATACGAATACAATATCACAATACTTGACAACAGCCAAGTGTCGTGTGGCTTCAACCTTTATTAAATCCCTTTCATTCGGATTACCACCACCTGTGATGTTTTTACGTCTGAGCCTAGACCTTTTTTATAGATAGAACACTGACCCAATCAGTCCAAAGGTGATCCTGATTGGCGTGTGCTTTTAGGAAAATAATCAAGAATATACCAAGAAAAGAATAAAATTAAATTTTGATCAATAATTACCCGATCTTGCATATTATAATGTTCCGTATGTTGTGAATATAGTATTAGGTTTCACTTTTTGTCTAACTTATTACAAAAATCATATCCATATATTTTTTTATTATTTTCGGGATTTAAGAATTCACCTGAAATCGCAACACTGATTCATAAAAAAACTGCATTACAGGATGTCGTATACACCAAAGGGAACTCACGTGATTGTTTGTGATGAGAATGGTCTCGCAATTGAGCTGGTTGACCATCTTATCTGCAGAGGAGCAAGGAAATTTATCTTAAACATGAAATCAAATATGAACACAGGATATTTCTACACAAAATCCATGTTGGTATAATTCCCTGTTTCATTATTGTTTCATCATCATCCTTTAACAATCACAAAAATGTACAGATAATAATGTGCAGTATTTAATATCGACTTACGTAAACATATTTTTATATATATATAAAAAACTACTTAATCCAGACATCAAACTTGAATCGAACCGATCTCGATCTCGGTCTCGATAGAAATGGTTCTCCATCGCTATGCAGATAAATGCAATAAGCATAATGCTACCTACTAATCAACGTATAAATTTTGTTCTGCTATATTTTTTTTCTGGTAACTAAATCCTTGGTTGCACACAGAAGTCACTAGTATCATAAATGTAACTATAATGTCACTGTAAGTTCTTATTATAGCTAAGTCCATTAATGCAGGGAATCCATGATTCGACCTCACTAAAGGTATTAGAGGTTTACATTTAAAAGTTCCATGAGCTAAATTTATATTCAAATATATATTCATTGAATGTATATTTCAATTGAATATAATTAAATTATAATTAATCATATCTTTTACAATATGTAGCATATCCACAAAACTTTGTAACAATTTCATGGAACAACATAAATAGGTATCTAAGAAACCTTTATCGGAATTCATATCAACCTACAGATTCATAGAAAGCTGATTAAATAGATTTCTTAAAAATGATTGAGAGAGAAAAATACTTTCTAGGATTTTGTATTAAGTTTCACTGTTTCTATATTGGATTTAAAGATTAAAATTGGATGTTAAGATTTTCAATAGAATTAATGTTTTTTTTCTCGTCTATCAGGTAAATTATCAGACTATTGGACACGTATTTTTTTCTTTATCCACATAATCAAAACAATGCGGAGATATGTTGATTTGAAATGTTGCATGACGACACGCTTTGGTCATTTTCTATTAAGAATTGACGTCACTAGCCCAAAGTCCCAAACTTTTAACGCGCTTTATTTTTGGTGTTTATTGATTGATTGACAAAAGAAAAAAAATGTGTTCATTATTTTTTGATAATCTAACTGACTTCCGATTTTGTTTACTTTACTCCGTCATGACCCCTATTTCTTACACTCGTAATAATTGTCATCTAAAATTGTTTAAAGCCCCTAGCATAAAAATGACAGCATGTTGCATTGTCAGATACAACACTTACGTGTTGTATCTGACAATGCAACATGCTGTCATTTTCTCATTTCATGCTGTCATGCTGTTTAGGTTACCCTAACACAAAAAATATTTTAGTAATAATGCATTCTATGGAAACCTTTAAACCATTGAAATGTTATTTACAAAAAGTGGATATTATAGTTGTTTGCCCTTCAGTATATTAATATGCATTAAGCGCTTTATTTCTCAACTTCTGTCTTCTTTCTCATTCAAATTCCTATTCTGATACTAATATTGTCAAAAGGTCGTGGAAGAAACTCGGTATTTCTTTACAAATTAACACTGAAAGCCTTCAGTACGAAAAAGGGACCGTAAATCTTCTGAACGAAGGATCAAAATCAGGACCGATTCATGGCATCTTCGTTGTTCAAACCTTAAATAGAACTGAGGAGAATTTTGATCCGGTAGCTGTATCTGAGAAATTCAACGACACTGCAATGGTTGTAGCAAATTTGGATCTCATATCCAGAAATATTTGCATGGAGTTGAAGTAAGTGAAGTAATTTTTACCTGAATCTATCATACGAAAGAATTAACATTTGATAAGAATCTTACTGTCATAATCTGTTGAAGGATATGATGATATTTTTATTTTGTATGATGATTCGATAACATTCTTGGAATAAGTAAGTGAAACGTTAAATAATGAATACTTCCAGATACTTCGTCGTTATGACTGGTTCCTCGGAAAAAGTAACAGATGAATATGCTGCTTCTGTGTCAGAGAAAATTTGTGCTATTAGGAATGAGGTTGGGTTACCAGCTTTGGCTTTCAGAGTAGGAAAACTGAATAAGGTAAGAAATAATAATTTAACTAAGCAGCAAAACATGTGCAAGTACTTTTTAATGCCTCTGGATTCTAGTAAAAAATATAATATTGCGCTGCTAAAAAGTATAGAATACAAAAAAAATATGTCCTGCTCTTCCACGAAAAGTTTTACAGTATTTTGTTATAATAACGAAGTCTGATCATATTAAAAACATTAAAATTAGATCATTTTTTTGTAATTATCATATGAATAAATATGCCCATATTGAAAAATATGGATGTAGGTATTTATGCTCTTTTTAGATTAAAGTGCAGACATGATGTATTTGTTCACGTCTAAGTAATGTTCACATTGATTATGGGCACAAAACTATACTACTATATTAATTATCAGATAAATTTTTCATATTGAAAAAAAAACGACGACAAAGTCATATAAAAGAATTGCCAAAAACTTGTTAATGTCTGAACAATGTTTACCTCGATTATACTGTTCCTAAGATAATTGGACACAAAACTGCACCATATTCAATATTGTTTTCAATATTGAAAAAAGCGCCACTAAAGTCATACAAAGAAATTGCCAAAAATACTTTCTCTTTGTCTGAGTGTATAGAAGTACTCGCAGGTATATTTTTTTTTAACAGTTCGATTCGGCTGTAGTGGATTTCCAATCGAAGTCCCAGCTTCTATCATATTCAGCAATTTTCAGCGCTCTGGAGACGAGCTTAAAACTTAATTATAAAAATGTCCAAGCGTTCAATCTCAAGAAGCGAACTGATTCCGACTTCCTTGAGAAAATCGAAAAAATACTGGGTGAGTATTTTTAAAGCGTAAAAGGAAACTTGCTTGCTCATTCTGTGTTTTATTTTTTATTATAAATGAAGTTGCCTTGAATTGCAATTTCACAAAAAGCTTTCTATTTTTTTATTATTGCTCAGTTTCAGTGTAACCTACCATTCTTGTATTTTTATACAAGAATGGTAGGTTATATTCTTGTAACAAGTAAAAATAAATATGGGTGGTGTGTATTCGAATTTAATTTAATCCTTGTTTTGCATATCAAAGTTACCAACTTTGAGTTTCGTTATAGTTACTTAATCTATTATCCTTGTGTTATCCGAATATAGCATGGGACATAAATCTTTCAAAATAGAGATTTTACTTTTTCTTGCAGGTATCAAAAATATAAATAATCTTCCGAAACACTTTACTTTAGAAGACTTGAGCGCCAATCATTATAATATCGAAGAAATAATTGGGGTTATCAAAAATGCTCACAACATAAGTTACCCACTCGAGAAAGCAAAGAAGTTAAAAATTGGAGAGTAAGTTATATTTTTTTACACAAATATTATCTCGCCTTTCCTAAACTTTATTTCTCTTCTAAAAATATGTACCTAAATGTTTTGTTTTGTAATTTTATTAAAATAAATAATCTATATGTTTGACAAACTTCCAGGCTTATAAAACTCAAGGAATACAGTATGAAGAAATCTGATGGTGGTTTGAATGCTTTCTTTACCTTCATCGACAACGACGAATGCTTAGCGGCAGAACCTATGGTTATGATGCAGACCAAAATAGCAGGCGAAATTCAGGTCAGTTTTTTAAATCCACTAAATTTTCTACCTTATTATTAATAAAGAAAACATGCAAAGCAAATAGAACCTCCTTCTTTATAGTAGGGGAGCCCAAGCGGAGATTTTATGATTTACTCAAGCGCGGCAGATAAATTTAAGGGGTAACCTTGTACCCAGTTAATTACTCCTACCATACCTACAAGGATGCCCACCCGAAGGATGGTCGGAAGAAAAAAGTAACACTCGCACATCATGAGTCGCGCATTCCGCACCGCAGCAGAGAGTCGTCATGTACCGCCCGCAGCGACAGTATCGAAAGTGTCAATTTATGTTATCGTATAGTACTGCTGAAGACAAATCTGATCGAAACAAGAAATTTGTGAGTGTATCGTGTTGTGCGTTTGTGTCAATCTGTGACTAAGCTCTTCTGAGACCGTTTGCTGCTGCAAGCGTTAATTGCTTGTGCGACCGCCATCTTGGTGGTTACCGCTAGCACCACGAAGAGACTGCTGCAGGCTGCAGCAGCGGCTGGGCGTATTTGCCAGCGCAACCATCGCGGCCCAACCCTCAATTAAGTGGTCGGTGTTTTTATCCTCAACCTATCCAAGAATCTGACATCCGCTTCTTTCTATCGCAACTAGCACCTACAGTCCACTTCTTGGGGATTTTACCCTACCAGGTATCGTTCATCTCCCCCCCTCTACGTGATCCCACCAGGTGTCATCAGCCAACAGTTTGGCTGTTTCAAAATAAATTTTGATCGCAAGTTTCTTCATTTTGACGAGGTGGACGTGCGGTGACGGAGAAAGAATACAACTCACCGCCACTTCTCTTCCCGTGGGTGTCGTAAGAAGCGACTAAGGGATATCGTAGCTTCCATCAGTTTTTCTGGTGGCTCACGGCCGCCTGGTTTGTTACCACTGCGCGCATGGTTAAAAACCTGTGAAGTGCTTTTCGCGCGTTTCGAGGTCAACCAGCGTACAACCAGAGGGTTGCTCTCTCAAGTGGAGGTTGCCGCGAAGGATTCGGTGCAGGGGAGGCATCCGTCAAACCGATGCCGGCAGGACTGCATCGACCCGCCGGCCAGGGAGACCCGTAGTAACGGCTCTCGCTGGCCGACCGTGGCACAGTATAGGGACCCGAGCATTTCTAACCAGTTCGAGAGGCTGCTCCATCATGTCGCGCATAATCTCGGGGTGGACCGTCGTACCGGTTGGTGAACGGTACGTGGGGTTCCGGCGGCCACTCCCGGAGGGGTACGGGGCCCTTCCGTCCGGCGGGTTGGCGCATCTCCTCTGCAGGTGATATCTGCCAAAGCACCACAGGCCAAGCCTCCGTGTCTAACAGTGGTAAAACGCCGGATCTGGCACTATGGGTCGGCAGATTGGGACTACTTTGTGTCCGTCCCTTGGAAGCAGCGCTGTTTCAGTGACAAGGACCTATCAGCCAGCAACGTTGCTATTACTGAGGACGTTGTAATTGGTATGGAGTATTATATTCCTTATTCCAATCTCATCCGTAAGGGCACGCGTAACCTCTAATCACGACTGTGCTGAAGCTACTTCGCGTAAGCAAGCGGCATATCGTGCTTGGAGAGGCCGTGCTCTTAAGGATCCCGGGGTCGATTCACTAAAAGCAGTCTACAATATTGCTAACAAGGCCTGAAAGAAGGCTTACATCAAAGCGGATGCCCAGCGCGTTGCACGCGTTGGTCACGAACTCGTAACACTAGCTCATAAGCCACAGGAGAAAACCGATTTACTGGCAAAACTCTTTACAGCTAACTCGCGAATCGATGATTGCAATGCACTGCCACCATCATTACCTCATTGTGGCACAACGATGCCTGATATTAAAATCAGGCAGCGTGAGGTTCGTGTCGAATTGCAATCACTCGACGTCCGGAAAGCTAGTGGACCTGATGGCATGCCAGCAGTAGTACTGAAAAAATGTGCAGTGGGGTTCTCTGCCGTGCTCACGCGCTTGTACCAATGCTCGTATTCTTTGGGGCGTGTGCCGGCAATTTGGAGAGAGGTTAACGTGCAACCGGTGCCTAAAAAAGGGAATCGCTCAGACCCGGCAAACTACCAACCAATAGCAGTCACCACAGTATTATGTAAAGTCCTAGAAAAGGTCCTTAACAACCAACTGATCATAACCTAGAGGAACACTCGCTGATTAATGATCGTCAATATGGTTTTAGACCGAAACGATCGACGGGTGAGCTTCTAGCGTACTTGACTCATATCTGGGGTGAGGCTATCGACAAGCGTGGCGAGTCGTTGGCTATCAGCCTTGACATTGCTAAAGCGTTCGACAGGGTATGGCACAAAAGCCTTCTCTCCAAGCTTCTGGCATACGGTCTGCCGGCCCAGTTCTGTTCTTGGGTAGCTGATATCCCGCATGAGCGTAGAATTTGTGTCCTTACGGATGGTAGCAGTTCGCGGTTTATGTCAGTGAATGCTGGCGTTCCCCAGGGCTTCGTCCTATCCCTCACTCTCTTTCTGCTGCTCTTTATCAATGACTTAATTCCTCTTGGGAATATTCATTGCTATGCAAACGATAGTACAGTGCATGCAGGGTATCTCGGACAAGCAGCGGCTGGGCAGACGGTAACCAAGTAGAAACGGGGAATCTTGTCATTGAACTCAATCAGGCTTTGGACAACATTTCTGAATGGGGTACCAAGAATTTGGTTTAGTTCAATGCTTAAAAACCCAGGTCTGCGCTTTCACAGCAAAAACATCGCCATTCCTTTCATGTCCTTCTCTTCAGGGCACAACACTGGAGCTAGAGAACAGTATCACCATGCTCGGTATGAAGATTCGCTGTGACTTAAATCCAAAAAATTACATCGAAAGTATGATAAAAACGGCCTCAAGCTAACTCGGAGTCCTCAACAAGGTGCGGCGTTTTTTCACGCCCGAGCAACTGTGCTTGTTGTGTAAGACGCAGGTGCGGTCTTGCGTGGAATATTGCTCGCACCTCTGGGATGGCTCCGCCAAGTACTTGCTCAATGCTTTGGATAGGTTACAGCGGCGCGCGATCCGCATCATAGGTGATGATGTGGTAACTAAACACCTCGAGCCTCCTCAATTACGCCGTGACGTGGCGTCACTAAGCGCGTTCTATCGTCTGTACCACGGCGAGTGTTCTGGGGAGTTATTCTCTCTTACTTCACCTTCCCCTTTCCTTCAGAGAACCACGCGCGTCATTTGTCGGACCTTTCTATAAAAAATGGTACCTACCTTATTTCAATTCCACTTCGAGACCAAAGCAGCATCAACGCCGAATGGTATAGCACAAAATGCCTGCCGAAGTTTTTTCTACAATGAGCAACAAGCGACTTAACACGTGCCACACACTCTGCGATTAAAACGAAGGACTTCCTGGACTCCACACCAGTAATAGTCTTGGGACACTCTCCTTACAGTTCTGATTTGGCTCCGTGTGACTTCTTTTTGTACCCTAAAATAAAAAAAACAGCTAAAAGGGATACAGTTTTCATTGCCGGAAGAAGCGCTAGCAGCGTTTGAGAAGGCCGTGGAAGAGGTGTCTGCGGAGGACTGTAAATAATGTTTAAAAAATACTCAATACTTTCCGTAAATTTTATATTAACACTTATATGACTACCGTAACTCAGGTAAGTCAGATTACATTTAAATTTAATTAAAGTGGATGCTGTTGATGACGTTGTTTCTGATAATCTTACTATCCTATTAATATTATAAATATGAAAGTTTGTATGTTTGTTACTATCATTCAAAAACTCCTGAACGAATTTGGATGAATTTTGGTAGGCATATATTATAGTTTATGATCAGGTTTGAGACACAGGATACTTTGGTTCCTATGGGATTCCTAAAAAACCAAAGTTAAAATAACACGCGGACGAAGTCGCGGGCGGCCGCTAGTAAGACATACAATAAGACAACACTTGACTTAAATGTAGTAAATATTACAGTTCGTCGACGTCTCCGACCTAATCCGATCACAAGTAAAATTTTCTTCAATTTAATTTCAGATCGAGGATCAAATTGACACAAAACCGGAATATCTAATGCTGATACCAGGATTTGAAGGTCACTATCAGATCTTTGAATCTGTATGCGAGAGACTTAAAATCCAGGCGGCAGTTTTCCAACTCGGACCGGATCTAGCTAATGACACCATACAGGAAATGGCTAGCAATATATTGAAAGTAAGTAGGCTAGGCATAACATTAAAATTACACATAAGCATCTTATTAATATTGTAAATATGAAAGTTTTTTTATGTCTGTAATAATGCAAAAATGGAACAGAACAGATCAGACATCAGATTCTTCTTATCCGGGATAATCTCCAATACACAGAAAGATTAAAAACAAAAATTAATCCTCAAAATCGTTCAATTGAATGTCAAAATAATACGCGGGCAATATATTTAAATAAAAACAGTAGTCAAATTGAGAAACTCAGCATATTGCTCAGCATTTATAAAATATTATAAAAACTAAAACTGTACAAATTTGTATTGTGTACAGCCGATAATTTAACTCCATGTATGTATGTCATCGAATTTAAAGTTGTACAGTATACTCAGGAAAATTGAGTTTTACTTATGTTGAAAATTTCATTATAAGCATAAAATACATAACAGTTATAAGTTAACTCTATTGGATGTAGTATAGATGTATAGATCTTGGTAGTTACTTTTAAATTACAATTTTAATACTTTGGGCTATATTTTTTTATGCTTAATAGGCAAAGCGTTTGACCACAATCTCGCCTGATGGAAAGCGATGATGAGACCTAGGATGGTACACGCCTGCCTAGAAGATGCCTGTTATAAATGCGTTCATAAATTTCTTAAATCATGATGTTATGTACAGGAAAAATATACTAGCCTATACGCCAGTTACAAATTTTCCTGTACAGATATTGAAAGCATTTCAAGTATAAATTTAAGGCATATTCTGAAACTGATGCAGATGATATCTTGACAACCTCATGTTTCCCTTTAACGAAAGTATGGCGGCAATCATATAGTGAACAAAGACACGTATTATTACTGCAGAGGCTTCTGCTTCAATTTGAACTGACCAAAGTTTTTATAAACAAACAAACTACAATCTTTGCTCTTTGTTACAGTTCATGAAAAAGCAATTTGAGCTAAAATCTAATTTCTATCTTCTGGGCTACTCTTTTGGAGTTAATGTGGCTTTGGAATTAACTGCTTTATTGGAGAAAGAAGGTATTTAGTTTTAAAGAAATTACTTTTATTGTTTTGAAAATACTTTAAACAGAAAATACATTATTACATTTAATGACCATATTGAATTATGATATGCTTGTTAAAAAAATATGCATGAGAAAAAATCCCATTATATGCTTGTCCTTATTGATTTCTAACTTTTCAGGTCACATCGGTAAAGTTTTCTGCCTGGATAGCAGTCCTGAAATGTTACGAGTTCAATTAAGCGCCTACGTAGGATCTTTGTCGGAGACTGAACTGCAGAATGCTATAGTGGAACACATGTACAAACTGATGGCTGGAAAAGAGAGTATTGAGCTAAAAGAAGATTTGCAGAAAATCGAAGACTGGCCTACTAAGGTGGATACCTGCGTTAACAGACTCAGAGGCTTGGTCAACTACTCGCATCAATACAAGAAGTCATTACTCAACGGTGCTTACAACAAAATAACTTTGGCAAGGGAATACGAGCCAAATTTCAAATTGAAATCCGAATTGATTCTCATGAAGGGTACACCTCATCCTAATGCTGAAAAACTAGAAGATGATTACGGTCTTTCTAAATATAGCTATCAGAATGTCAAAGTGTTTAATATAGAAGCGGATCACGCTTTAGCACCTCACGATAGCAGGGTCTCCAACTTTATCAACGGGCTTCTAGATACCAATGTCATAGAAGAATTCAAAAAGAAAAGTCTGTGCGAGGTCTACTATGCTGATCCTTTCAAGATCCTATAAGTGGACATATATTAGTCACTAGGTATTAAGCGGCCTATTATTTATTACTTAAGTCAATAAAACTTTTACTTTAATTGGGATTTTTTTATTTCAATTCAAAAATTAGGTTCAAATAATTTTGATATATCTGTTCTAGTTAATGAACTGGAAAATAATTTTCGGGTGATACTGTGTTAATTAAATTCAATCCTAATAAAACAAGCGCTAAAAGCAGCTGTCAGTAAAGGGAGACATAGTAACGGACTTTGTTATAATTAAACTACAAATTGAAAGAAAACAGTATACACTTTTTACAGGATCGCTTTTATAGTTAACGCCGATAGTGATAAGAAAATTATTGGTTACACAAATTAAATTTGTTCGAAATATTACCAAGATATTTTAGTCACTACAATATTTTCGAATAAGTATCTGAGATTAAGAAATTCTGTGAATGCCTCTCCGGTGTAAAATTATTTCATAAACAAAAATGGTCTGGTGTAGATAATACAAGAGCCACGATTCAATGCTTTCATTAGTTATAACTAAGTTGACATCTTAGTTCAACATAAAAAGGTATGTCTGTAGCAACAATAATGTTGTTACATACCTTTCTATGTTGAAAGGTGGTAAACAGGCACATGACCGACTTTAATATGATGATGGTAAGAACTAAGGAGCCTCTTTAGCCTCAACAACTTAATACCTAGTGAACGTTTATGTAAACTTCAAAGTTTAAAACACTTATTACACTTAACAATGACATTAACATATAAATAAATATTTCTAACGCTCACAGCAATTAGCCTGGCCCCAAAGTAAGTACTGTAAGGTTTGAGTTATGGGATACTAGGGTAACGGATAGAATACATATACTGATACATAATAAGTATATTTAACTAGATTCTAGAAATACTTATATATAAACATTCATGATTTAGGTACAAATGCACGTTTTCATCAATACAAACACTAACCTTACTCCACCGGGATTCGTACCCGTGACCTTTGAGAAGGCGACACCTTGATACCCGGCGTACAAACTACTCGGCCACAGAGGTCGTCAATATATAGCATACTTCAAAACTCCATATGCAATCAAATGTTTCATAAAACTACGATATGTAATTTCATTGTTCATTGCACATTTTTAAACAACAAAATTTGCGTTATTGTTCAAATCAATAGAATGTATGGTACTGGTCTAAACTAAACTAAACCTTCTTAATATCAGGCACAAAGGTGAGCAACCACCATTACCTAACTGGACTGAACTCACTCACTCACTCACTGCAGAAAGACAGCACTAAATCATTTAGTATTATTTGGCTCCAGTCATCTGTAAAGTAAAAAACGCTTCCCGAGACAAGCTCTCCAATTAATCAGCAAAATCCGCACCCTTACCAAAGCAGTATCTCCTAGAATTAAACAACACAATACCTTTAGTCCACCCCTTGTAACTACACAAAATGGATTTTTCTTTTTTTACGTTAAAAGGTGGCAGACGAGCGTATCCTGATGGTAAATGCCTTTATATGCGCTTGCGATACCAAAAATATATCACTCACACATGGAGAAATTTTTTATTTGCTCCATACTCACACCTATGCCTACCCTGACCCAATCCAATACCCCGTGGAGCGCTGGAACCTTACTTACCGTCAGAAACACAACACCACCAAAAGGTAGTGTTGACGCAAAATCAACATGTTTTATTAATGTTCATACTTTTCAATTTTAAATCTCCCGCCACCTAACATTATTGTAATTAAGTGGTCACACTTCTTAATCTGTATCTTCAACAGTGACCACTGATTGGCTAATGTAATTAGAGACTTCAAAAAATATGGCGACTAGAATAATGTGCTTGTGCTAGTAAAATTGTCATTTCATTATAATTTGTTCATTATATCAGTTTTAAAGTTCACGAAAATTGTTTCATTGAAGAAAGTCACCAAACAAGGTAAAGGGAAAGTAAATAATCAGCGATCACCAATCAAAATCAGAAAACGCTGCGGTTGCCATACGACGCTTCGAACCCGCCGTTGGCGCCGAGCTATTCATCATCACGTAGTGTTATTTTACTGTAATTTCGATTAAAATAATGTTTGTTTTGTCACCCAACAAAATTTTAATAACCAAACATCCCCTGCGCCAACGAACTAGACTGAAAACGAATATAGGTATTCTATTTGGTGAAATCATATGTTAATCAATAAGAATAAAATCATTGTGAGTTATGTATTGTTTGTTACGTTACCGAATACCTGATTTAAATAATTTTAAAGTTAATTACAAAGGGAAGTTCCTGTTTATATAGGAAGTGTTGTGAATGGTAAAAGTACAACATATTATTTAAATTTGCACTGAGAGTAAAATGTAGGTGTAGGCCATTTATCAGCGGATTAGGTAAATGGTTCGAGAGACAAACACACGCGTTTCCGCTTCGGTAAAGAAACGTTTTTGTGGTTATATTGGAAAAATGCAAACTTTTTTCTACATATGACATGAACTGTGTTTTTATAAAAACCACAAGAAAACAAATTTAGTTTTTAGTCATACAAAAGTACCTGTGTAACAATTTTAATACGGCATAGTTTTTCCATATTTTAAATATACGTTTACGTAATAAGGAAATCGAGAAAACACAATATTTGTTTAAAGTGGTATGCCATTGCATGATTATATTGTTACATAGTTTATTGCATAAATTACTGTACTTTATAGGGTCTCCAAAACTTTGAATTTACACACGCGAGTGATATAAACTAAATCAATACACAATTCAAGAACTTTCATTATGTAATAACGAATTGTATGAACAACAGTTGTAATTATTAGACATTTTTGGGCACAATAAGCATTAGCTTTGCGTAACGGTTAGCTTATTTTACCGTTAATTGTCTAATTGATGTACATTGTTTTGGGAGTTAATTGCCTTGACTGGGATCTAATTGGCAACATTTAAAGGGCGTAATTGCAATCATACCATTAGCACGAACCGATATCGAATAGTTTAATATCCTCTGATAAATTTTAAAGTTTTTAATTAATCATAAGTACTCTATTTAAAAAGAAATAGGTATGCACTGTGGCTATTGCTCTCAATCCATTGTAGCGGATAAGTAACTTACTCACAGAATTTTACTATATCCAGCCCTTTGTTAATTTATTTCACATACTAGCGGCCGCCCGCGACTTAGTTAGAAATAAAGGTTCACTGCTCGTTCCCCGTGGGTGATAGCGTGATAATATTTAGTCTATATGTTGACCCGACTTCTTAATAATATTCGTGCCAAATTTGAAGTTAATCCATGCAGTACATGCAGCATACTTATTGAGTTTATTTTGGATATACATACAGACAAACAGACAAAAATTCTAAAAACTATATTTTTGGCTTCGGTATGGATTGTAGATCACACCCTAAGTATTATTTTAAAAAAATATTCAATTCAATGTATAGTTTTGACTTTCCTACCATTTTATTATATGTACAGATAACGTCTTTGAAAGCCACGTTAAGCCAACAACGAATAGTTTGAATGCACTGTGAATCAACTAAGCCGCTGCACTAGGCTGCATCTGCACCAGTCGTTGGCACACACCAATTCGCAGTAATTTCTCGTTGTGGGTTATGGTCCCTCTTCCATTGGTGTTTATCCTTCTCTATTGGTTAAGCCGCGGAGATATCATTGGCTGCTACCGGTGAGAAAATTTGATTAATGAAGGATCAATGAAACACATTAAAAGTGGCTGAAGATTAAGTGCACAATGCATTAATTTTAATTACTAAAATTTATCACCATCGGTTTAACGGAAAATCACGGAATAGTTTGAGATTGTTTTGGTCACCTATATTTCGAAAGTTGGTTAAAGGTAGCATTCGGCTCTCAGGGATCGTGATTCGCAATCCCGACTCGCTACAGAGACCAGTACCCCTAGCACGAACCAATATCGAAGTCGTATCGTTTGCGAGTTCGAAATGTCATTGTCAAATGTGTAATGATTTTTAGTTCTCGTTACGTACTTTGTACCGCTGCTGTTCAAGTTTCCATAATAAATTTGACATTGACATTTCGGTTTGCAAACTATTCGAATTCGATATAATGGTTCGTGCTAGGGGTACACGTGGCGCGGCCCACTGCATTGTATGGATTTATATGGAGCACTAAGTGCAATAACGCACGAGCCGCTAACCGCAGTAGATGGCGGTTGCGCTAATGTCAATTTGTATGGGACCGCGCGGTTACGAGGATGCCAATGCGTTGTCTTACATAAATGCCTATGGGTAGAGAGCGGCGAGGCGTCCGCGACCCGGGCGCGTCGGAGGCAGTGCCGTCGCGAGACGCAGGCGACATTTTCACCAAACAAAGTTTAGATAGAATTGGTGAATAAAAACCCACATTTATATCGCGCTTACCCCAGCCAGGGATATCTTATCGCCAGGCGACCATGGTCGCGTAGTCGGAGGGTCGCGGTCGCTAAGAAGCAAATGCTACGACATAACGAACTAACCACTTATAACATTGAGCTCCTCCATTAATAGTCATGGGTATTCACAATAACTCGACTCGCTACAGAGACCAGTACCCCTAGCACGAACCAATATCGAAGTCGTATCGTTTGCGAGTTCGAAATGTCATTGTCAAATGTGTAATGATTTTTAGTTCTCGTTACGTACTTTGTACCGCTGCTGTTCAAGTTTCCATAATAAATTTGACATTGACATTTCGGTTTGCAAACTATTCGAATTCGATATAATGGTTCGTGCTAGGGGTACACGTGGCGCGGCCCACTGCATTGTATGGATTTATATGGAGCACTAAGTGCAATAACGCACGAGCCGCTAACCGCAGTAGATGGCGGTTGCGCTAATGTCAATTTGTATGGGACCGCGCGGTTACGAGGATGCCAATGCGTTGTCTTACATAAATGCCTATGGGTAGAGAGCGGCGAGGCGTCCGCGACCCGGGCGCGTCGGAGGCAGTGCCGTCGCGAGACGCAGGCGACATTTTCACCAAACAAAGTTTAGATAGAATTGGTGAATAAAAACCCACATTTATATCGCGCTTACCCCAGCCAGGGATATCTT